AACCCATCCCACTTTGCATCAGCTCCCACTGAAATAAATAACTCAAGAACCACACAACATAAATAACAGCAGAATGGTTTGGGGGGGGGAAAACCATGTCTCCATCTTCTAAAAATAGCTTCCTTTTGGCTATGCTGCTCCTTCATGTCTTTCCTTGAGAAAGCAGGGATGAACAGAATACTGATTGGGATTCACTGACAGGGGCTGCCTCAGGAGCATCATTAAGAGGCACATTTCTCCCACAGCCTCCCAGTTTTCAGAAGGAGAGGGTATTTTCCATCTCCTTTTTCTTAAGGTTGGAGCTGTGACTGCAAATTCCCCACTCATATTCATCCATTTGGCTCCCAAAGCTTTCTCTACCCAAGATGTGCCTCTGCTCAGTGCCTCTTGGGTTGGGAGGCTGGACAAGCTTCTGAACTCCCATGGAAAACCCAGCACAGCCCCAGCACTTGCTCTGGTCTTGCAGGGAACTTCCAACAGGACCTACAGACATGTGTGGAATGGAAGCTGCATCAAAGGGTCTTCCAGAGCCCTTCACTGGGTCATCTCTTGTCTGTGTCTCATCAGTTCTTATATTTATAAATGCAGTGCTTAAATCCTGACCAGGGTTAAGCTGAGGAACACTCAGCCTTCCTCCCTTCCATTTCCAAATCTTCACGGGTCAAGTGAAACTTTCCTCACATCCACGAGGTTGAAGTCAGGGATGGTCACACTGACTTCACACAAATCATAGAATTATGGAATGGTTGGAGTTGGGCAGGAACACCTTCCACTAGCCCAGGTTGCTCCAAGCCCCGTCCAAGCTGTCCTTGGACACTCCCAGGGATGGAGCAGCCACAGCTTCTCCGGTCAACCTGTGCCAGGGCCTCCCCACCCTCAAAATAAGCTCTACTCCACTGCTCCAACAGCTTTCCATGGTTTGCCCCAAAGCAGAAGAGATTGGAAAATAATGTTTCATTTTTCTCTTTTTTAACATGTACCTGATTTCAAAGGCATTTGGAGGGAGACAACACCCCCCTCTCCCTCCATGGGCTGAAGCCATGGAGAGCTGTGATGCTGCTGGGACTTCACCCAGGTTTGCTTTTCAATCCAACCCCACGAGCTCCTCTGCAGGAAGACCTTGGGCAACCAAAATGCCTTGTTGTCCCACACTGCCATGCTTTTTAAATTCCCTGAAACATTCTGAGATGGAGGGAAAATATCTGTGGTGCTGGAGCTGCACAGGCTGAAGGCAGTGACAGGAGTCAAACACTGCACTGAGCACACACTTACAGCCAAATAAATGCAGGAAAGGTCAAATCAAAGACTATCCCCATTCGAGGTTTATTTCAGGACCCCTTCTAACACTACTAGGGGAGCCACAACCCTTTCAGAAACAAGCTGTTCCTGCTATTGCTGGCTTTGGACAAAAAGCACACTGCTGCTAACCTCTTACATAAAGTGAGCACACAAACAGCTGAAACACTGACCCCACATGGCCTTTTCCCTGGGATTTGTGGGTTTGCACAAAGAAGCCAACATTTTACATGCAGCCCTCGATGGAGTCTGGAATTGTGCAGAAACACTGCTTGGAGTGCACACTCTTAACCCAGTTGTTTGTGTACCATGTTCCTCCTCTCTGATGCCAAACACTGTGGGTCTCTGGGTTATTTTCTATTTTTATTTTGTTGTGGTTTTTTTTTTTTTTAAGCTGCTTGGTCATGCACAACTTTGAATCCCTGCATATACCTTCACTGCCACTATTATTGCAATATAATACAAGCCTGCACTCAGGGATGATTCTCTTTGTTAGGATCTTTTTTTTTCCCTCAGCTGAGCACTCAGAGCTCACTAGATACGAGCTCCAAAATTATGAAACACTTCTTGGCTGTGATTTTTCTGTGCAGGCAGAGATATATATCAGGTTTATTTTATGAGTGGGAGATATTTAGCAAGAGCAGTTGACTCAATCTGCGTTGTGAGTAAACAATTCTCTTCATCCTTACTTGCAAATTGGTTGATTTAAGACTTTTGTCAATTGGCAACAGATATAAAACACCCATAAGGAAGTGCCACTTGCTTTTGAATGGAGAAAAACCTCAGGCACGAGGTGAAGCAGCACTTTTCCATTAAGGCAGAGGCTACACTGACTTACACTGGGATTTGCTGGGCAGGGTATCCAGCCCTGCCTCCATGAGATCCATGAAAACCACTCGAACACCACAGGAAAAGCTGGAGCAGAGTATTCAAGGACCACCCACCCCCTGCTACCAACACATGGACGTTTAAATCATCCCCAAGTAACCGAGTCTTGCATCTCTGAGGACGAGAAAGTGCAAGTGATCCAACAGCCCAAGTGATGTCTGTGCACAAGGGAAGGATGAAACACTACAATACTCGAATTCAACAGCAACAAAACAGCATTGAGGCACCACAGCCAGCACAAAAATCACCATTGTACACTGGGGTTCCAGCCATTCCAGCCCTGAGCTGCTAAAAACTCCAGTCTATCCCACTCCCTACTCCTCAGCTGGGCTAAATCCAACCGTTGCATTCTTGGTGGAATTCAAAGACATATTAATTGTTGTGAAGGCACAAAGTATTACCTGGAATAACACTTGAAATGCAAATTAAGGGCTGTGTAAAATTATTGCAGCACAAGAGGACCGTGGTTTATTAGCAGCAGATTTGCAAGGTTAATTTTCAATTATGTATTTCTTATTAGTTTTCTAGCTGTCTTGCTATTATTAAATTTAAAGAGGAAGATACTTCCAGTGTGTCCAGCTTCTGTGGCATTATTACTGATAATTATTCCTATTTTCCAATTTGTGTTACTCTCATGTCTTGCAAAATTTGTAATTAATGAGCAAATAATTACAGCAGCACTTACTAGAGCTGCTTTGGTTAAAGCTGTGTCAGCTTTTGTATTAGGATCCCCATTTTTCAAGGGTTTATAACTCAAGCATAAAAATTCACTCTGGGCAGAGCCTTGTCATAAGAGCTGTCTGCTGAGCATGATTTTTTGTTTTTAAATGTTCCTAAGCAGCATTATCTCTTTTTATTTTCCTTTTTCCAAAGTTATGGACATATTAAAACATCTTAAAGCTTCCAGGGGCATTAAGTTTACAGCGCTGCATTTTTCTATGCTCCGACGTCTCCAAAATAAAGACATTTTCTTTTAAGGTGAAGGCATTCACCTTTACAAATATGAAACAAGATGCCTCAGCATCTCCAAAGAGCAGAACAGGGGTTTTTAATGCCTGCTGGTCATTAGCTTTACAAAATAGCACAGAAGAGAGCTTGACATTCAGGGATGTTTGTGCTGCTCCCACCCAGCTGAGCATTCATGCACAGCCCCAATTAAGGCACATGAGTGGTCCTTAGGAGTCAACAGGCCTGGCCAGGCTCTCTGGGATGCACAAACATTCACTGCCCCGATTCAGCACAACAAAGAGTTGCTTTTGACTCGAGTTTGAGGCTGTCCCTGCTCCCTGCAAGCTGCTGTCCACACTCTGGGGAAAGCTGAGCATCACAGGGATCAGTTCTCCAGAGTGCTGAGGACCTGGAGGGCTTAAACAGCTCAGCACCTTCTCAATGAGGGGCTCAGCATCACACGTGGTCCTGTCTGGTGCCAGCATAAAATTTAGCACAAAACTGGTGCTTCTTTTGTTGTCTGGAAGAGGAAACCCAAAGGGGAAAAGCAGCAGATCCCAAGTCACCAAGTGATTGTGGCTGGTGCCACAAAATAAAATGGGAGTGACAGTTCTAGAACAGGCATTCTGCAAAATTTAGGCTCGACCCAAGAGCTCATCACAGCTGACTCCTCTAAACATCCAGAAAACACGGGACACATCCCATCATCACTGCCTGGCCTTCTGCATCCCTTCTCCTGCAAAAAGCCTTGGAGCAGCCACACAGTCACTGTCAGAATTCTAAAGGTTAGAAGAGACCTCCAAGATCATCAGGTCACTCTTGGAACTGCTTGACCTTAACACTAAGCTTAATTAAAGCAAGACCCCTGTAACTCAGCAAACAGGGAATAGCAACAAGTCAGCAGGGCTGTGCATATCAGCTTTTCTCATTCTAGCTTTGAAGAGTAGGGTGGATTAAGACACTTCCAGCAGCAAACTAACAGCAAAAATTCACACCAAACCCCCAGTTTTACTGGGAAACGCAGTCAGAGATGAGATAAAACCAGAGAATGATGAGGCCTACCTGCATCAGCCACAGTCAGTCATGGAAAACGAGGATAATCCTCTTCAAAATCCAGGGAACTTGTTCCTTAGAGCTCCTCATGGGGAAAGGAACCTGTTGCCTCACTGCACCTTTTATTTGCCTTGCTTTGACTACCATCAGCTGAGGTTTTTCACACCCTCATTTGCCCTAATTATCTCCACCTGTCTGAGTTCATTGCTAATGAGGGGAACCCATTTTTTAATCTATTATTCAGCCCCAGGCCATGGCACTGGAACCTTTTACCACAGTGACTGAGGGGACACCAATGTCCCTTCTCTGGTGCCACCCTCATGGCCAAGTCATATTTTGTAAGCCCAAACATCATCAGCAAACCCACCAAACATTTGCAAACCTCACTTCTGTGTTCCAGGAATGCTGATATCTTTATTTTTGCACATATGCAGAGCCTGGCCCAACTGTGGCTGATATTACATAAACAATATAATAAATATAATAAACCCCTGCCATAGAAATGAACTGTTCCTTCTCATTTTAGGGGCCTGTTTATCCTTCAGGTAAATATTTTCTCTCATATGAATTTTCCCAGTCAAGATTGGTTTGCAAAATGGACCCAGAGGAATCTATATGTGCTGATATTCCTTGGTTTCTCATGGCTTCCCAGTTTGGCTGTAACCATGGTACTGCTGGATTTCTCATGGCTGCATGGCACAATGTGTATCTCATTATTCCTGGCAGCTTTGGATAGCTTTTATGTAGCTGTAAAAATAATTTACATTTCTTGAGCATCTGAAATAAAGATAAAATAGAACTATGACATCGCGAGCTGGAGGTTTGATGCAAATTTATTTATAAATATGAATCACATTTAGAATGCAAAATTACACGGACGTCTTCTACAAATTGCCCATATCATAAAGAAATTATTTCTTTCCTTTTTTTGAGGATAATACCTTGACATATTATCTATATATTAATGATGTAAATGGAAACTCAGGAGAAAATCCAAAGTGACATTTGGGTGCCCTGGGCTACTGATGAGATCAGTTATATGACAAAGAATTTTTTCAGTTCTACATCACTGACTTGAAGCTGCTCCACCTCACCTCCATCAGCTGCTCCTGGCCTGGGATGAAATTCCAGCCCTTCTGAAGTCCCTTTGGTGCCAAAGGATGTCCAGGAATCACAGTGACATCACAAGTCCACCTTGCAGTGCTCCTGTGAGTTATATGTGCCCATATAACACACACACCCCAAACACCTGGGCCAGAAGTTCTATTATTCAAATATTCCAGAATAACATCCCGGGGAAAGCCCAACTACTTGTATTAATTCCAATAATCCCAAGCATCACAAATCCAAGGGTTTTCACTGTCTTTGGGGATTTCAGAATGGTATAAAGTGTTTTTTTAAAAGTGGGATACAAGTGTTGGGTGTTTCCTGGCTATAAAGTTCCTTTGAGCAAATAATGTAACTAACAGTAGTTCTTTGCATTTCAAAACAAGCACAGATTTTGAACACAAACAAGGCTTCATCAAATCACTTTTACAGATTCTGATAATTTCTCTCTGCTCTAATCTCAGGTTTTTCCTTTTAGTCCCTTCTGGGGCTTGGTTATTTTAACACTGTCTCCTCTAACACAAGATCTCTGCTCTGGGAAAAAAACTCAGTAGTTGTTTTCTGGATTTTCCAATATATAATCCATATGATGTCTCAGTTTTGATGAAATATTTTAGTATAATATTTCTTCTACTTCATGAAAGTGATGTCCAAACCATCTCAGAAATCTCCATACTGCCCATTCTGCTGCCACATGGAATTCTCCACTGAACAGTCCTACTTCCATTGCACTTTATCCCCTCAAAAAGGGGGATAATTGTTTCCTAAGGGGGAAAAAAAAAGGTGTAAAAATATTACCTGCCAAAACCCTACTCTTTTTTCAATTCTCCTTCCACATTGAGGTTAAATACAACTCTGAAATCAAAAGTAATACAGAAAATGACTTTTCCTTCAGTCAGAGCAGTTCCACGAGGTGTTTGCTCCCCTGAGCCTCTGTAATTCACACCATAAAATCACAGAATTATTAAGTTTGAAAAGATCTCCAAGATCATCAAATCCAACTTTCAGTTGAATGTCCACTAAACCCTATCACCCACATTTCTGAGCCTCTGCTCATTGCTTTACCTATAAAAGCATCCAGCTGCATTTTGTTATGTCATTTTTGTTTTTAATTCCACCTTCTGAGAAACTGCAGAGGGAAGAAATTCCAGGATTACAATTAAAAATTTCATAAAAATGATCCTCTGGAATTCACCAGGTTAAAAACTTTCTGTCAGTGTTTTCGACCACCCCAAAAATTCCTTAGAAAACACATAATTTTTGATTCAGTATCATGAACAACCTATAACACAAGTAAAGTGCATATTCTAGTGGATGAACACTGAGGACATGTTTCTAATTTTATACATTTAGTTTATCAGAAAGGCAGGACATTTTCTAGCCAAGTATTTATTCATCAACATACTCAGAAGGTGCCACGGTGTTGTGGGCAGAAAAAAAGTCATATTCCCTGAAATCACATTAATTTGGGCATTTGGAGGGCACAAACATCTACTCCAAAGAGTGATGGCTGTGGATGCTCAGCTTTGCATCCTGGATGGGACTGGACCAATCCCATCCATCAGGGCATTGGAATGATGGAGAAATTAAAAAGGAAAAGGAAAAAAGGAAGGTGTACGGATGAGAAAAGCCCTAATTAAGAAGAGCCAAGTTAACTGGAGACTGGTTTAATGAATGTAGAATAGTTTTACACATCAGGAGGGAATTGTGCTGTTACAACCTCAGGCAGGGCCTGAGCATTTAAGTGCTCCAGTCCCACGGCAGACAATTGGATTTAAGCCCCTGTTTAAGGACAAGGCCGGGCAGGGATGGTTTGCAAGATCTCTATAAAAGCACAACCTTCCATTCTCCCAAACCATATGGGTTTGACTTCCCATATGGAGTGACAAAATAAAAATATAGGCTAAAAATAGCTCTCAAAAAAATGCACTGGCTGAAGGCTGTTTCCTGTGCCACAATTTGATTAGCCTTGTGTTTTATTTCTTCGGCAGCGATTTCAATTTATCTCTGATTTGGAGCATGAAAAGCTGCTTTTATAGTCGCGAGCAGAGGAGAAAAAGGCATCCGGGAAGCAAATATAGAGAGCTCTTCTGGCTTTATAGGAGCTGCAGGAACAAGTGGAATGATTTTAGAGCAGCAGCAAACAAAGTGGTGCTGGGAGATGATCTATCTTTGCAATCTGTATTTAAGTTCGCTGTCAGCCCCTGCGAGAGTGCAGAGCATTAAAAATTCCGTGCAGCTCCGAAGTAACCTAAAGGAGCCAAAAATTGTCAGAGCAGAAATCCCCTGTGCAGAGGGATCCGTGCCAGCATGGCTCCCACCCCGCCCGGCGCCGCGGCCGAGTGGCTCCCTGACAGCTCCTTCTGGCCACCAAAGAGGAGCTGGAGGAGCCGCTCCCGCGGCGTTGACGGATGGTATGGAACACAAACATTCCCATTTGGGCTCTGCTGGAAGGTGCCTTCGTAAAAAATCATGGATTTATACAGGGGTTTTTTTTGAGGGGAAAAAAAATCCCAGCCACGCCTCAAATGCTGTGTTCGGTGTTGGGCTCCTCACGACAAGGATGACTTTGAGGGGTTGGAATGTGCCCAGGGAAGGGAACGGAGCTGGGGAAAGGGCTGGAGAACCAGGAGCAGCTGAGGGAGCTGGAGAGGCTCAGCCTGGGGAAAAGGAGGCTCAGGGGGGGCCTTCTCACTCTTTGCAACTCCCTGACAGGAGGGTGTATTTAGCTGGGGGTCAGTCCCTTCTCCCCAATAACAAGTGACAGGACGAGATAAAATGGCCTCAAGTTGACCAAGGGAGGTTTAGATTGTACATTAGGGGAAATTTCATCACAGAAAGGGTTGTCAAGGCCTGGCACAGGCTGCCCAGGGCAGTAGTGGAATCACCACCCCTGAAAGTGCTCAAAAACTGTGTGGATGTGACCCCTGGGGACATGGTTTAGTGGTGAACATGTGGGTGGTGCTGGTTGACGGTTGGACCCAATGATCTTAAGGGTCCTTTCCAACCTTCATGATTCTGTGATTCTAAATTCTTTCCCACCTCAGCTGGGGAAGGGAACAAATAATCAGCCAAGCACCTGATCTGCTGATGGCATCCAAGACCTGAAACCTCTGGCTTTGGAGAAGGAGAGAAGATCAGTCTTGGTGGAGCCTTCTGCTACCAAGGAAGATGTTTGTTACGATTTGAAGACTCAAGAAGTAAATGCCACAGCTGCCTTTCCCAGGAACTACCTTCCCCCCCTGTTGGCAATGGACAACAGCTGGGGAATGGCAGCATGGCATGAACACATCAACATTCCTCAACAGCAGCTGGACCTGGACCAGACACCCCATGGGATTTTGTGTGCTGGGTTTGAGACTGACACAAGGCAGCTCAACAAGGATCCTTCCTTTGGGATCTGCTCTGAAGCTCCTGCCACTCCAGAAGTTACCTCGGGTTCCTGGGCTTTTCTGCTCCCTGCTTTATGTTGCTGCCTGAGGTTGGAGACCAGGATTTAACCCCCACCCATGCTCCAATGGCAGCATGAGCACAGGCAGCTGTCATTTATTTCTCTGGTCTTGCAGCTCTGCCCAGACATCAACTGCTAGACCCCATGGGGGGTAACTGTCCATTACAGACAGATATTTCTCATTATTTGTGTGTTTTGCCAAAACGAGTGAAGAAATAGATAGATAGCAGATAGACAAAGGAAAAAAATCGTGTTCAACTTGCAAGGATGATTGAGAAAGTCACGTCTTGCTTTTCCAGCATTTCAGTTTTCCCACATCTGTGAGTCTGCCTGGCTTTATGCAAATAAGTGTGGATTTCCTGCAGGCTCTGACCTTACTTTAATAGCACACACTCTGGGACAGTTTGTGTCCTGTTTCTGCATTAATATTTGTTGCTGTGGGTGAAAAAGTGGAATAAAACTAAGAAATAATGCTGTTAGCAAGCAAAGAGTGCCCCTCTGTTTGGCACCGGAGGAGACAGCGAGCCCTGGTGGGGTAGGGAAGAGTAAGTCCTGGCTCTGGTTCAGCCCGGAAGGAATGAAGAACTAGCAAAGGGCTAATCCCTCTATTGAGCAGGAATCTGGAGTGAGAAAAAACAGCCAGATCAACGGACAGGACCCCGCTCTGGGCGCTGGTCAGGCTTTGGACACACATCTCCACACCACAGAACAACATCTGCCAGAGTCTGGCAAAAAGTTCTTCTATTTGATAATTTTCTCTCTTTCACCACTTTGTTAAAGCTCTAAGAACGACTTTTCCAATCTGAGCAAAAGCTCTGCATTTCCCCTTAAAAGTGATTTTTGTAATCTAACAAATATTAAAATCCAAAGAGGGAAAATAAAAGATATCTAGAGTGGGAAGGGGCTGAGCTTCAGAAGCTTTGGAAGAGAAAGGATTAGAAACCAGCAAACCAGCTTTTCTCTAAAGAATTTATAGAGAGAAAAAAAAAAGAAAACACTTTGGAAACAATTATTTACAAAGTTCGAAGTACTTGGTACCCTTTGCTTTGGTAAGATAAGGGGCAACAAACAGCATCCATAGTCATGAGGAGTCGGCCCAATTACTTCTGTCAGCAAATCTAATTTTACAAAACATATTTCTGCTAGGAAGAACACTTTCCTTGCTTCACGTTCCTTTTTACATTGCTAATAAGTCTCTTAGCAGTAGATTAGAAGAGCCTCTTCAGCCAGGAACAGGCGGATGGCCCTGAGCGCAGCCAGAGGTCTCTTCTCCGGAAAAACGTGATTGAAGCCGAGGAGAATTTCGCCTGAGGAGGTTCCCTGCAGGTGTTTGGTCCCGTGTCTGTAACCTGTGTTGTTACAGAAACTGCTAATGATTAGGATTATTGCACTTACAGCCTTCAGAAACATGATCTAGGGCTGTTCTGACCCTTTTCCCTCTCCTGACCTGTGGAAATCAAGAGGGGTTTTTCAGGGCTCCGTGCCCAGAGAGCAGAGCAGAGCCCACCTGCCTGACAACCTGTGCAAGGCTCACAAACCTTCCAAAGGTGGCCAAAATGATCCCAAACCTGTGTGAAACCCTGCCACCTGCCGAGCCAGGTAAACCTTTTAAGGCAATGTAAGTTCAGAAGGATTTAACTTCAGTAAAAAAACGATGGATGAGAGATGAAGATGACCAAGGACAGCCCTCTCCGGGTGGCACCGATGGGTCCCACTTTCCCCAGCTCCAGATGTTTCCCGAGGAGATGCTGAAAAGCCCATGGCTGTGCTCTCTGGAGGGGAACAGCAGGAGCTGCACTGAGGCAGGAAGATGAGCAGTGGGTACAGGAGACAAACAGAGAATTAAAACTTTTTGACACATCACAAGAACAATCTGGAAAAAAAAATTGTAGTCTTTCTGTGGACAAATGCAATTTTATCAACTCTGCTGAAGGCAGTGAGAAGCCTCAGGCTGCTTTTGGCACCTCACCTGCACCTGGAAAATAAATGCAGTGTCTTGATTCCCCCAGAGAAATGGTCACTTATGCAAAGAAAACAATGGAGAAAAGGATCAGCTTCCAGCTTTTCTGGGCAACTCTGATTTGTGCCTGGGCACCTCGCTGAAGAACAGAGATTGGAGGTGTCCTTGGCCATCCCAGACATTATAAAAAAGCATCTGAATCTAATTCCTGCACACAGAAAATGGGCTAAATTCATTAAATCAAATTATTCCATTTCAGTTCCTCGCTTTCCACAATTTTTTTGTTTCAAAGGCTTTGTGGCAATTAATGTCAAAGAGCTAAGTAAATATTTTCTTGTGTTATGTGGAAGATGATGTCAGGCAGTGATGGGAGCAAAACACTGACTTTGTACAACTGTTTGTACCTCTGATAGGACTGACTCATATTGGGAGATTATAGAAAATGCATTCTGTGATTATATGCCCCCCTAGAGGCCCCATGGAGGTGAGATTATGCAACTCACACTGTTATTTTACCAGGAAAAAAATGGACTAAGTAAATAAAAAAGCTGCAGGATGTGACTTCATCGTGCACTGTTGACACCTGCTTATATGATTTAAAGGATGTTACTAAGAATATCAGAGTGGCTAATGTAAATGATGAAGAAATCAGAGGTCAATAATATAATAATAAATATTAGCATAGGTTTCCCAAGGCCAGGAGTGCCTGAAATGGTAATTGGAATTATGATTTTGCTCTTGAATTATGTGCTACTGAAAATACTTTGGTCGCTGCTGCTTTCCTGGAACTGCTCCATTAAAGCCAAACAGAGACACTCTCCGATCCTTCTTAATCCAATAAATAGTATCAGCTTTTCCTAAGGATGCTTTTTCTTTCATGTGGGCACCCACCTCACCCTGTGCATTAGGTTGTTGTGTTCGAGGGAGGTGTTGGGCTGCAGGGACATGGTTCCTACAGCTCCAGGTGCTGCTCTGAGGATGCAGCATCTCAACTCTGTCATCCGTGTTGGATATCCCAGGGTAAGGTAGAAAACCAGGAAAAATTCCTCATAACTGCACTGCAGGCACAAAGGAAGCTTCTAAACCTTCCTCAACCACAAGCCACTTCCCTATGGGACACCAGAATAAAGTGCTCTCAAAATGCATTAATGCAATAGGCAATAGATTAAATTTGATGAAAGACTGGTCCAAACAATGTGGTTTCAATTGACAAAATACCTGCAGCTCACAGTACTATTTACAGCACCACTGAATTACCCTGGACACACAGAAGACACACAAAAAAATGTGGCTACAGCTTTAGAATAATTCATTTAGGGGTTATCTGGCAACACCTTGTGCAGCAAAAAATCAGCCCAGCAGCCAGGCTGGCGCTGAGGAGAAATTCCAGAGGGTGAGGGGCTGGCAGTGGCTTTAAAATCATTCTTCACCTGCTTTCTCCAGCCCTCCCTACAACGAGTTTATCCCAGAGGGGTCTGAAAGTCAGAAATTGGAGTTGCTGGGTGCTGACTGCAGTACCTGGGGATTCCTGGTGGCCGCTGCGCACGGCTTGGGAAGTGCTGCTAAATCAGATTTTTACAGGGAAAAAACCCCCACCATCTAATCCTGTAATGCTGTCTGAATATTGTTGGGCTGTTTGCCTTTAATGCCTCTAACTCCTTGCTGATGGGCAGCTCACAGGAGTCATGTTTGAGCTGGTGTCTGATGCTGGAACGCTCCGTGCAGAGAAATCCGGATCCGCCACGAGTGTTTCAACGCGGTTACGCAAAAGTCTAAAATTAGGTCATAAATTATATAATCCTGCAAGGAAACAACGAATTTAATGACTATGCCAAACCAGAGATAAAAGCTGAGGAAGGAAATAGCATCTTGCTCATTAAATATTAAGGATCAGATCCTTCAAACATTTTTCCAGTGATGAACTCTGTGGGAGTTTGGCATCTGTATTTGTGTGTGTTCTATAGAATGTGCTTATACATCATATACAAGTGCTGGATGTGATTTATGGAGCACACACACATAGTAAGTATATTTATAATGCATAAATACACTCCATCAAGAGCAGAGAAGGTGATTAGTGAGAGTTTCCTAAGAGGTTTAATCAGATATTTTGATGGCTTGTTTCCAGTGTTCCTCCAAAGGCATTTTTCATCACAGGGCGCTGGGAAGGAGCAGGTAGAGGCACCTCCTTTCACACTTACAGCAGCAGCAGATATCACAGAGCAGCTCTGCATCCTCTTTGGGATTGAAAAACCCTGGGAAATAAGAAAGATTACCAAGATATAACAATGGATTTGAAAATTCCCTGCAACCTGTGAATCCCTCCCCTAATGCTGCTGTGCCCCAGCCTTTCTCCAAACCTTTCACAAGGCACATCTGGTTTGATCTGTTTGAAATAACACAGGGCCAGGTCTTGTGCATATTCCCTGAGAAGTTTGAGGTGATTCCCCTGGGACTGATGGCTGTGCTGATGTCCTGAGTATGTTAATGAGAGGGAATGGGAATCTCTGATGGAAAAAGGTAGATTGTGCTCCAGTCCTTGCTGTCGTCAAAGCCTCTCTGATAACCATGTCCCTTTCTTCAAAGATTGGAGTCATTTGTGGATTGACTATATAATCCTTGTGCTGAAGCCTGGGAAAACTGCTGTTGATGCCCTTGGCAAATTCTTAGCCTAAAAAAGCATGAAAAAGAGGACCAAGTAATTTCAATTCCATAAAATACATTAAATGCAGCACACAGGTATGTAAATGGGAAACTCCATAACTGTAATTTGCCCATTTAGAGCCTGATCTAAAGGCTATAAAAGTTAATTTGAAATCTTTTCATTGATTTTAATGGCCTTTAGATCAGGCCCATATTATTCACTGCATATCATGTTTGTTTCAGTGCAGTACTGTATTTATGTAAAATGTGAATTATGCGGATTATAACACCCACAGAGCCACTGCTTATTGTGCAAGGGCAAAGCTTGTGAAGTTATTGCCTTCAACAACCCCCCCAAAATATTAAAAAAATCCAAATAAAGTCCCAAATAATGATTAGACTTTTTAAAAGCGAGATCTAAAAAAAATGAGGAGGCCTTCTTTTCGTTAGATACTAATACAACCTAAATGTATTTTAAGCATCATGAAATCCAAATGGAATTTCACACAATTCCTCATTTCCGACTGCAGCGGCGCAACAAAAAAATTACACGTAAATGATTCAAAACCTCTTGAAGAAAGAGCACTTTTTTTTTTTTTTCCAATTTGGGGAGAGAAAAAAAAAAAAAAGGTTTCAACCCAAGCTCAGCAAGGGATAACAGCATTACAGTCTGTGCACGGAGAATTTAGCCCCTCATAATTCTAAATCCTTCTCAAACGCTTTATTGCTATAAGGTGGCTCATACCAGTCTCTACACAACAGGACTCCCATAGCATTAACCATGAGAGATAGGCTTCCAGAAAGAAACTATAGCAAAGTAATTGTAAATCTCTAATGATGCATAAAACCAAGCTGAATTGGTCCTGAATTCTCAGCATAAAAGAAATGAACCATCAGAAGAACCAATTCTGGTGGCAGTATAACACAGCCCAGTGTGGGAACTGTTTATGGGGTTTGCTGCAGTGGAAATATTCCTGCTAATATGCAAGTGATAGGAATTCATTAAAAATGCCCCAATGCTGCAAGATCTTGTGATGCCACGTGTGACATTAAAAACAACTCGTTAGCCAAAAAGAAAACCTCCTCTGTACCAGAAGAGTTCCCTGCCCATCCCAGTCACTGCCAGGTTTCTGTACCATGAACTCAGTGGGTTCTGCAGGGTTTTAAACCCACCTTGCAAGATTTCCAGGTTTTGTGCACCGGGGTGGGTTCAGCTGCACCAGGCTGGGCTTTGTTGGAACTGTGCCTACCAAGACATGCCCAGGGGCTGCGTGGACAGGGCAAACTGAAGCCTCATCCCCCTCCCCTGCTGTGCCTGAGAGGACACCTGGGATGGGACTTCCAGTGATGGCCTTCAAGGGGACATGACCACAGACAGTCAGGACAGGGCTGTCCCTGCTGGTGTGGCAACAGAAACCCAAAACCTCCTGTTTCCTCAGACAGTTTAGTCAATTCCTGCTGGATAAGCACCCAAGAAAATATTTAAATTATACCATTTAATTAATTAATTATGCAATCCACAAACTCCAGCAATGAACCAGGTGCACTCCAAAGCCCTCAATGCACAAATCTGGATCATCACCCATTAATCCAAGACAACTTGCTCCAGAAGCAGATCAGATGGACAATCTGAGAGACCAGAAATCCCTTCCTCATGCCCAAACCAGAGGTCCCACACGTGTCCCCACACAGCCTCACCCAGGAGCTCCAGTGGGGCCACAAACCTGATTTTTTGAGCTGAGAATCCGGTCGTACTTCGTGTCTGGGACATCTCTGGCTCTTTTTCCACACTGCCAAGAGGTGTTGCAGGGCATGCTGCTTTTCCAGCACCAGGGCATCTGTCCACTGAGAACTAGATTGACAAGGCTGAAATGGTTGGGTTTGTCTGCTTGATCATTTCACAACTCTTCGAGCCAGACATCTGAGAGCTCGGCTGCATCATTGCACCGTGTCAACACTGGTGGAGGCACAGATTTGAAATCTGCATACGTGGACAAAAAAAGGGTGGATCTGAAATTAATTAACATTACCAGGCACTACCTAGAGAAATATTTACCATAATAATAAGCATGCATCAAGGAATGTCACATTCACTGCGTGGTTTTTAGTGAAGCTGCAGTTTTCGAGGCTGGTAGGTGGGACTCCAAGGTTTAGCAATAACTTCTCGATTTATAAAAGCATTTTATAGAACTCTCTTACCAAAAAAAGAGAAAATATCACTGATTTAAAGTCAGATTAAAATGAAATGAAACGCAAGTGACACACTGGGGTTTTCTATGCTTGCAGTTGGCATCTCTCTGCACCACACAGTACATGTGAGTTATAAAACATCTCTTAACTATGTGTAGGTGCTGCAGCCTTATCTATAATCCCCATGGAAATTGTGGGAAGAAAAGGTAAACAATTTCACAAGGGATTAAAAAATAATAGTAAGAAGTGCATTGGTCTCACTCTGTTTTGACTGTGGTTTATGGAAAAAAAGGGGAGAAATGAAGTTTTTTGTTAAATATCCTCCTTGTACACATATATAATAATAAAGGAATGGGGAAATCAAGGCAAGAGGGATGAAAGAAATTACCTAATTCCCACTTTTGAAAACTTCCTTCACACTGGCGAGGTGCTGGCACTGTGACCATCTCTTACTTCCCTGTGATTTAGGGCTCCTACCCTGTGAGCAATTCATAGATGCTCATTTTGGAGATAAAAGTCCAACCTACTGGACCCATTGCCCCAAGGAACTCACAGCAGGAAATGCTCTCCAAGGTGCTCCATCCGACAGTTCTATATTCCAAGGTTCCCCCATTTTTCCCAATCAAAACCAGAACAACTCTAATTAAATATAAACAAGAAGCTAAAGTGAGATGAATGGTTTATAGGTGCTTCATCCTTCCCTGCATTGATTAATAGATAAAGAATTCCCCCCTCCACCAACTCAGCTGACAAACCCCGCTGTAATTATTCCTTGCACACGATGATGTGGAAGCACAGTCACTCCAGCAGGAACACTCCAGCTCCCTCTACATACATTTTGTGCTGGTTGGCTGCACCCACCAGGTATTTACATTCCATTAGTCCTGTCTTTGTATTCAGAGTTTCTCAACACGGGTTTTCACTCAAAATCAAAGCAGCAGTGGTCACCCTTGCATGCAATGCCATTATTTGTGAGCCAGGTTTGCAGTGTGGGCAGTGTCCCCGGGCTCTGCTAATTCCTGGTGCCCAAAGAACTGCTCTGTGAGTTTTATTTTTCCTTTTGTTTTCCCTGACGTTGTCACTCTGCTCCGTAAGTGAGCAGCAAATACAATTTTCTTTCACATATGGATGAAACTTTGCTGAAACTGTGCCTTTGCCACCACAAAATCAATGCCAAAATTGCTCCAGAAGATGCCTGACCACTTGTGAAGCAGAGCACTACAAGAGGACACTGCAGGGGCTGCACCAGATATTTTCTGGCCACCCTGGACCAGATAGAGCCACCCAGAGATGGGCTCCAACTTTTGGAGAATGCAGTGATTGAGCTTATTTTCAAGGAGTTTACTCTTAGAATAATGCAGTTATTAAAGTATGAACCAGCAGCAGGCAAGAGATGCATCTTAGTCTCATCCATTGATTACTCTACAGCTGAAGTTTTGCAAGGGGCATCCAGCCCTTGAGATGGATATCCCTGGGCTGGAAAAACGGAAATCAATAAATCTATTCGGAAAAACATAATTTCATTTTGCTTCTTAACCAGAAATTGAGATACACACATTTCTCTGACTTAAATATATCCTGTGTTACATAAGTAATTGTTTTGAACCCACTCTAGGACACAGTCAGAGACATGACTCCAATAACACATTATCAGTAAAACAAAGCAAAACAGTTTCATGTCCCTGCTGGGTTTGTATATACACTCTTAAATGAGCAGATTGTCTCGTTATCCACCCTGATCTGGTCATTGGATGCTGAGGCACAGCTGTCACAACAGGTGCCCGAGCGTCTCCCCCTTCATGGCACCGCGGTTGCTCTCTGGAGTTTGTTGTCAAATTCCTCTGGTGGCTTTGCTGTTCCCTGTCCTGCTCTTCCCAGGTTTATAATTACTTCTGAAATCACCCAGAGCTGGCTGACTCTGCATGTGATAAACCTTCATCTCAGGCATCAGTGCTTCTTCACAGGTTCCTGTTCCACGCCCCACCACACGACACCAGATTATCCATTAGTTTTGGCCATGGGTTTCTTACCTGGACCTTTCTCCATCTTTTTTGGTGCCTCCAGTGACCATTTCTACTGAATGAAATGCCCAACACTGTGTTGCAGGAGGTACTTTGGGACTATGCAGGGCTAGAGGCTGATTCCTCCACTAGATCAGATCATCTCCCCCCATGCCAAGTGACAGCAGGAGTCTCCAGGGACTTGAGAATTTCCATGGGCTCTTGTCCAACATTATATTTAATGAGAAAATTCTTTGAAAAATAACTCTTGTGCCCAAAAGATATCACCTCCTCACTTTTGTTTCTCTTTAACCTCCTTCACTGGTGGTTTGGAGTTCCCAAAATTGAGTGCAGAACTCTCCCCTCCTGTTCCTCTCCTCTCACTGCAGATTTATACATCCCATTTTCCCACTGAGCTCAGCACTCACTGGGGATATTTTACTGCCCAAAATCCTGAGAGTTCTTCAATTATCAGCTCTGTGCCACTGTGCACTAACAAAGTTTATCTGATACTGCAGCATATCAAACATTTGTAGTTCTGGAACAAATGTTTTCTTAGCTGGAAGCAAATCCCCTCTGATGTTAAAGTACCTCCAAATAAAGAGACAATTTTATGTGATTTTTTTCCTTTTGTCTTCAAGGAATATATTGTAGATTGAGGGCAAAATATACACACTCCAACCTCTTTTATGTTTTGTAGACATCAGAATATAGAGTTTGATTTCCAAAGTGCTATAATCCATCAGTCTCACTGAATTCCAAAGGCTGGTGAGGGAGACAGATAGACAAAAAGCCAGCTGGGTAACCTGTATCAATGCCTTGAAGCACTGAAAGGATTGGACGAGTAAAAGCCAAAGATTTCTATAATTTTCCTTCAATAAAATTACAAAGGAGCGAGGAAAACATCCAGCTTTTGATTTTCAGAACAAATAGACTCAGTACACTACTAATACCAATTTTTTCTCTCTAAAACCCCATAGTTAGGGGTTAAAACATGTATTTCTATTTCAAGTTTCATCCATTTGGGACTGAAATATATTTCCCCCCCTAACTTACCCTTCCAGTTCTGCCTTCCCTGTCTTACAACACAGTCCAACATCTACAGAAACAACACCTCCTTGAACTTGAGCACAAAGTATTACAAAAACCTTCAATGCATTGCCACCATTTTAATGCAATTTATCACTGAAAAGCAAAACTAAAGGCAGTGTCATGGGTTCATCCATATTTCTGTGGGTCAATTACACTTTAAGGAATTCATCCTCGATGTTGTTACACTTAACAGCTCTTTGGGTAGATTAATTATCATGAGGAGCTAAACTGACTGAAATTCTTGCTGCCTTAAAACTGAATAAACAATTCATCCTTCTCTTCCTTATTCTCCCACTTTTCCCATATTACTTTAATGTGAAGTAGTTATTGCTGGTGTGTGTGTCCCAGGCTGGCGTTTGATCCCTCGCTAAACCAAAATGGGAGCAGCTCATTTGCTCTGCTGGGGTGAAAATATTCCTGAGTTCAGGTACAGACTGATTTTAAAGAAAATATAAATCTACAACACGTGCAAAGAAACTCAGAGAGGCGAAAATTGATTTGGGGAGAACCAACCAGAACAGAAAATCAACGTGCACAAAACCAGGAATGCAAAGGATGTCAAAGAGAGGAGCTTTGCCACAGCTTTTTTTGTCTTTATTGGTTTTTGGTTTTTTTGTTAGTGGTGGTGATCTCTTGTTTTGGGTTTTTTGTTTGTTTGTTTGTTTTTTCCTATATCTTGTTCTAATCCCTTTATTTTATGGCTTTACTTAACACACTCTCTCCAAAAATGATTGAGCAGCAGAAAAGAAACCTCCATTTCTGCCCACCATTGCTGAAGGTAATGGAACACAATCCCTCCCATGGTTCAAAAAGCAGGAGTTTCAAACCCACTCTCAGTTTCAGCTTTTGTATAGCTATAAAACCTCCAGGTTCCATATTATTAACCTCTGTCTATTCAAGCACCCCAAAAAGGTGGCTGTGTCACCTGCTCAACCTGAAGTTCAAGACCTTTCTGGGTGAGGAGACATTTTAGAGCATAATAACTACAGAAAATCCTTATCAAAGCTTGGGGGAGGGTTGGAATTACCAGTGGTTATCAGTCAATAATTGTTAGAGTAACTGATGGACAAGGGGTAACCCTTCCCATGCAATTCTGCTGTGGGAATGAGAAAAGCAGCTGGAAGGAATTCATAACAAGAACCTTGCAGAGCTCAGAGAAATGTGGTGTATAAACAGATTATTTATTCCTGTGGATATTGATGAGGAATGAACTGGATTTGGCATGTCTGGGAAACATCCCCACACTCTAAGCCATCCCAGCTCCCTGGGGCTCAAGGTAAAAACCTCCCCTGTAACTTAGGAGAACTTGGGAAAAAGAAAGCACTAAATATCTGGCTGGCTAGAAATACAGAGGTTGAACATTCCTCTTGCACATTTTTCATTTAATTAGTATTTCCTGCGGGTTTTCAGTGTAATGAGTCATTGATTATTGCAAGGAGTGCTTTGTAGGGTAAATTAATTCATTTAAGAGAAACAGTAAGAAGCGTTAAGTAGCCAGATAAATAAATAAAAGGCAAAGTGTGTGGGTTGCAAGTCAGGCCCAGGGGAGCCCCATTTCTATAAATCAGCTCCTCAGTGAGTACACCAATACCTGCTCTCCTCTTTACCTGCACCTACACCTTCTATAAAATATGAAAAATCCCTATAGATAAAGCAAATATAACCAAAACTCAGTTCCTCTGTTGAAAATTACATTCAC